TGTGTGTGTGTGTGTGTGTGTATGTGCGCACATCGCTTTGCACAGATTTACTACACAGCAGAACATGTTCACGTTAAAAAAATCCTCTTTGATCCTGAAGGTTGTTGAAAGCTGTGCCTGTTGTTTGGCCTGAGGTCATGGTCTGAGGTCACGACCTGAGGTCACAGTCTGAGGTCACGGCCTGAGGTGCTGAATCTGAGTGGCATTATTAAGGTGATCCCGTCTCCTGACAGGTGCTTTGGGTTTGACATCCTGTGTGGCCACATCAGGGGCAGAAGAAGGTGCTGGGGTGTATAAACAGGGGAATAATTGGGTGATTAAATCAGGTGTTTGAAAGCAGTGTCAAGACAGTCAGAAATGGGGGGGGGGTGCGTGTCAGTGGTCTGTGGTCTGATGTTTGAAGGCCTTGAGGTTGTTTCCCCGGCTGCTGTGACTTTTTGTACAGCAGTTAGTGACATTGACACACAGCGGAATGTTCCGGAAGGAGCTGTCGCCGTCTGCCACGGTGCCACCTCTCCTGGTACCCGTGGCACCGTGCAAAAAATACCCCCCGTGGGCACGAAGCCGACAGAACGCCAGGCATCCATTTTAAAAGCACTCCCTTCCTGGAATTAGCAGGCGGCTGGAGAGAGACCCCCCACCCCCCCGGCCTGGGCCACAGATGTGGAGCATTAAAAACCGGTGGAGCTTATAGTTACACCTCCTCAAAGCCAGAGAGGGGAGACCAGCGTGACAGAGAGAGAAGGAGGTATGGGGGGGGGCTATAGAGAGGAGATTGTGAGGGAAAGCGCTGGAGACATTATGACAATTAAAAGGGACAGATCAGAGAGGGAGGGGGAGGGACTGCAGAGTGAGTCCCCGCCCCCCAGGCAGCATGAGCTGTGTAAACATGGCGCTGCCACGGCGATCGGGGCGCAGCCTGACGACTGGGGGGGGCTGCGTCCGTGCCGTGTTACTTTCTGACGTTTCACGGGCTCGATTTCTGTGCATTAAACATCTCTGGCAGGCTTTGGTTTGTGTGATACGCCCCTCCCCCCCCCCACACACACATGACACCTGTCTCGCTCTCGGTCGGCTCCATCTCCGCATTGGGTTCACTGTGAGAATAGCCCGGTTCTGGCAGGCTCGCTCTGAAGGCCCTTGGGGGTGGGGGGGGGCCTCCCGCCACCCCTCCCCCCGCCTGGGTCCTGTCACCCCTGTAAGTCGTGGCCCCATTCCCAACGAGCTGGAATTCAGGGCTCTCCGCCACGTCCTTGTCACTCTGGAGTTTCTCTGCTCCC